CTCATGCTTCACAAAAGGTGCCATAATCCACCATTTACCATTTTTTGGGATTTCCAAGAAAAGAAGAAGAAAACCATTGGATCAAAGCATCTTTTCTGGTTGTTTTCGCACGGAAACATCCACGTGCACAGTAAATTTGATTTTTCTCGTACGTAAATGCTTTACGCTTTGTTGCCCACACGATTTGTTTTTCTTTTCCGTCCGAGATAAAAGAGGTGCAATAGCAACAACACATGTGTTGTTCTCCTACACCTTGTTCATTATCTGCCTCAAAAATATAAATAAATGTTGAGGTTTTACTGATAATGGAGGTAATCGTTGTGAAACTGATGTTCGATTGAAGGGTCCCTACAAAGATGTCAGTTAAGCAACTTCTAATAATAAATTCGCTAAGAAAAATCATTTGACACATGAATGAAAGAATTTAACAGAATTCGGATTGTTGTTTGAGTTTACAAGGCTTACTGCTTTTTTTTGCACCACGGCAGTGTAAAGAATTTTTTTCCATTGTCTGACTTTTTTGTCTGGCTCATTCTGGTGAGTACCAAGTACTTTGTACAGTTTCCGGGGGGCATCTGGAAAATCCATGCATACTTATTGATAGGAAAAAAGTTCGTATAGCTATCGACGAACTTTATGGCTTTTAACGCCTCCAAGAATTTTTTTACAAAGATATTTCGATACTCGTAAAATTCTGATGTTATTTTAATTATTTACGTGTAAAAAAGTCACTTGCACGATTGCATCGCTTCTCGGTCGCTTCCGGTATACTATAATAGTATGTAGAGGCTTGAAGGCAGCGTCCACTCAAAATTTTGCCTCCCATATTTTTGCCATTTCGGGGCTTTTCCGTGGCCCTGATTACAGTTATGAAATTCAAATAGTCCATCCTCAAAAAACCCGATTTCTAAGGACCCTGTCTTGAGGGCGCGGGCGGCCTTCGGTACATGGGTGGGCGGAGTCTGATAGGATTTGGGCGGGGCTTGATAGCACCTCGGCTGTTTCAGGCTCCTTATCTCTATTCAAAGACAAATTAGAGGACCAGATGAACGCAGATGCCCCTCGTGGGGCCTACATTCAGGATCGACCCTAATCGGAGGTGGTAAATTTAGCCGGAACACTGCTTTAAAACTTTGTTTGATTTTGAGATTTTTCTCTTCCCAGATCAAAGGACTGCTCAAAAGTTTTTGGCAGTTTCCAGACTCGTTTTTTGAGCAATTAACATTTTTCTTTCAACGAAAACACTTCTGTTACCTTCCATCACTACAAGGATGACATTCAAAAACCTCCTTCATAAATGAGAATTTTTTCTGAATCCTTTTGGTTGGTGGTTCATCTCAATTATCGTAATGCAAATTATATGCTTTTTTGTTTTTGCATTGATTTCTCTATCATTCCCAATCTTTTGTTAAACCCTGAACCTTGCAAAAGGTTTCAAAATCGCTTTTGTTTGCACAGCCGAGATGTCCGCAGAACGAACAAACAAGGTGGCTAGAGTTCGTGACGGAAATAGCTTATGTACTATCGCATAATTTCCGAGTTATTCGCAGAAGTTTGATAAGTTTAAGTGTACTTTGAGATAAATGCAAGGTAATTGTGCAAAGCTAAATTAAATTGTGCAGACGAGGAGGATAGGAGATGGAGGGGGGGGGGGGGGGGGAAGGGAAAGGATGAGGAGGCGGAAATGCGGGTAAAGTACTAGCAGATCGTGTATACTTTGAAATTTGAAACTAAAAAATGTTGTTAATGTGATGAACGCTTCGATTATTTCATTTGCGGGAGAAGGTTTGGAATTTGTTTGCGACATAGATAAAGGAAACATACCAAAAAAGGTGAAAACAAAAAAATTCAACTTCAAACACTCAAAAACACTCCTATGTACAAACATCCCTGGCCATGAGTAACTTTATGTACTTAGCTTTTGACTTTTATCAGATAAAAGCATTTCTGAATTTTTGTTGCTGTGGAGGGTAATTACTCTTTTTTTTTTGTGCATCTGGAAAAACTTGTACTTCGTGATGGTGCCCATCGCCGGAAGTAGTTTTTTTCTTTTTTTGTGTTTGTTTGATTTTGCATATATGCTGTGTGTTTTGCACTTTTTCTAGTGTCGAGGCGATGGGGGTGGTAATGCAGGCTCATAGAATGATTCATCATGTAAACCAAGCATTAAATCGATGCTGCTGCTGGTGAATGTGATTTTGACGGTAAATCACCATATTCCCCACATGTGCTGCGTTGAGAAATGTTTGAACTAGGTTCAAGAAGCGAGAAAAAGCAGGGATTCTGAGAAAAGCGGGGAATCGCTCGGCGAAGGGTCAACATTGAGCTGTAGTCAAGTAGTGATGAGCACCTTTGGTGACGCATGTTTGATTTCCGGGGCTATCAGAGCTATCAGTAATACTTTGCTGGAGAGGATAAGCATCGGTGAAAGTTATATTATGGGTAAAAGATGAAAAAAGGTTGATTACTAATGAATTTAAAAATTTTCGACGCCTGAATCCGAGTCTTCAGGGGAAATCTTGGCAAGACAACTACATAAAAATTCTGAGCTGAAAAAATGGTAGTTTTTCACCGATATCGGTTCTCAGTATGAGAGAACTTTGTGGAAATGATCTATTGAATCGGTGCAAAAATTCTTTCCGTTTTTTGCACCTATCCGCAAATCTCGAAAGTTAAACTAATAATTTTAGCGTTCGATGCAGACTTCATTTTTTCTTTCCAACGTATATGTTCAATACACGATTCTATTGATAAGCACTGAAATAATTGCCAAAGTTTGCAACCCTTTATTACCATATCCGAATTTGAAGTTTGAAATTTCATAATTTGAAGGTGGTTGAAACTGAGAATTTTGAAAACGAAATTCGGATATGGTGAAAAAATCAGAATTCAATCAACAAGCAGCTGTTGGGACAGACCTTCTGCAAATTGATGCAGCTTTTTGTAACTCTCTAGCTCGTCTTTCGGAGTTACCAAAATCTATCTCTTGACTAGAACATAAAGTTGTAAACAGTTCGGGTATTGAAAAACTATTTAGCAAAATTTTGCTGGTGAAGCTGCAGAAAAACAAAAAACTGCACCAGTCAGCAAAATGTATGCCCTATCTGCTCGCAGTTAAAAATCCTTTGCAGATCTTAAGCAAAAGTTTAAAAATTCAGCAAAATAAGGTGAAAACAATAGGGTACAAATTTCGGATCTCACCCCTTCCGGGAAATGTCGCATCGCGAACATAGCTGCTGGAATTGGAAGAAATTCTGCATCATATCTATCTATGAAAAATCTTTGTGCCTATTCAAAAAGGTGAGTTTTCAGGAAACCGCGCGGCCCCGCACGAACGCTTCCGCAAATCTAGCACCTGTAGTTTACTGGTTCACTAGTATTTCTCAAGTTATTTCTTTAGCTACATTCTGCGGGATTTGCGAATAGGTGCAGTGAAAGGTAAGAACTTCTGCACGGATCTAATATGTGAGTTTCAATACAAAAAGTAAGCAATTCTCCGCAATTTGTCAAGTGGATTTGTTCAGTAAAAAAACAATTTTGTAAAAAAAGTACTTGAGGCTAACAAGTACCATTTTATGTAATTATTTTGACAAAAGAGTTGGCAATTAACGATTGGGGCTTGGAAAAAGGGTCTGTTTTTGTACATAAGATTCAAATTTCTTTAATTCTTTCTTGTACTCGTATGAATGCTCTGAATAACACGACTTTGCTAGAGTATTTCTGATAACTTGGGTTTGAAATTAGTGAAAAGCTGTAGCTTTGAACCCCTTTAACACAACCCTACTTATCAAGTTTCTCTCGTCTTAGCTTTACAAACGTCAATTAAGCTAAAATTAGAGGGTTTTTTGAGCAAAAGAATTGCAGAACTACACCAAAATCACTTTTTATATGTCCATGTCAATATTCGATAGGTTCTAGTATGTACCCTACAGTACAAATCTCTGCAAAGCTGTGACATTCGAAGAAATCACGCGCTCTCAGCGATGTTAGAGTGAGAAACAGAAAACGGAGAAAATCAAAAATGATTGAGTCGATAGTGAAGATGAGGTCAAGATTGAATTGTCCATAGTTTGTTATACACTTTTTCGCCTTATCTCAAACTGTTCAGGTTCTGGTGCCGTTTGAGTCATGAACTTCCAGAATATAATTTTTAACGCTATGAGAACTCGCAGAGCTTTCACCATCAAATTTTATGATCGGCTGATTCAAATCTTGAATTTTTACTCAATCCAATTTACGAGTCACCATCTTAGATTAGCGAGCGTTAACGAGGCGAAGGTTTTGTAGACATACCTAATTTGATGGTTCCATTCGCAAATTAGATTACAAATTGATGTAACCCCTATGTTGTTTTTCAAAATTTTACAAAGATATTTTGTAGAACATGAGCAGCTTTGAAATCTTTGCATACTTTGCACTTGTTGCAATTCGCCTTCATGTGCAGCTCTAAGTGTGCTTTTAATGTGTGTAAGGAAATATTGACGCAGTTCTGCACAAATATTTGGGACTAGTTTTCATGGCTTTGGTGTCCTTAGTGGGAGAGTTGCGAGAGATGGTTGAGAATAGTGTACAGCCTAGGTTTTTTTCTAATGTGTGTATTTGCACATTTTCCGGGGTTCTGGCGGTATGGACTCTCTCATAAAAGGCATATATCAAATCATTCATGCCTCTTCAGGCATGATTTTGTCTAAACAACAACGAAAAAAAATACAGAAGTATGTGAGGGGTAGGGAAACAAACTCGGACAGTTTGGGCCGCTTCCGCGGATTACTGGTCCTGCAACGACATGCAATAACATTGCAAGAGGACCACTTCGCAGAAGGGGCGGCTCCAAATTGGTGGAGTTTCCCCTACCCCTATGTGAGGCCTGTTTGACCCCGTTCTCAAAAATTGTGTAATTGCACACCTAAGCTAGGAAACCTACTCTTGTCGATATTTAGATATTACACTGAAAATTCCTTCTATGGAAGGTGTAAAGGAAGAAAATGGTCATAACTTACTGGCTTTGGATGTGGCAGCCGCTGGACTTCGGGTTACGTGCATTTCGGTTTGCATGTTGCTGACCAGGCGATCCACTTCGTCACCGGTGTAGGATTGCTGGAAATTCGAGAATTTGAAATATGTAGAAAAAGTTTTTAAATTCTTGCTATGTTAAACTGTTTTGTCTATAATACGAAGGTAACAGACAGGCAAAGATGAACCTATGCGTTGTTTACTGAACGAATCAGCTGAGGATAAACAAATAAAAGCTTAATGGGTACACATGTTAGGAATATGTAGCAGCTGTTATGTTGCTATGTAGCGTCATATTACTGGAAAGCCATTTTATGTGCTTTTTCCCACGCAGTTCTACTTGAGCATAAATTTCCCTCATTCGTCAAGAATGTTCTCGAATTTTGCACAATGTTTGTGAAACCCTTCACACTTTTGGCGATTTTCGATGTGTTTTCTAGTGCGTAGGCGACGCCGTTCCAATAAGGAGTGGCGAAATGTTTTCAAGGATCGTTAAAACTTGTAACCATGAGGAAACGCACTCACTCACTCAGGAAACTCATCGATGAAAGTGGAATAGAAATGAATTTTGTAAGATGGAGGAGTTAAAAAAAACTGTTTGATCATAGATTATCGGTGTAACAACCTCAAGAATTAACAAGAAACGATATTATTCTCAATTAGATGAGCTAATTGCGCAAAATTTCAGCAACTAAAGAGCATCTCGGTGCGCATAACTCTTTTCCAGAGCTAACGTATTTATGCTTGCTTCTTCCATGGATATTTGAGCCTTGACGCAAACTGTGAAAAACTTTTCTTGGGGCGTAGTGTGTCCCTTTACTTTCAACTTTCTGCTTCATCACACTTGAAAGCAAACAAATTCAACGCTAAATTCCGAAAAGTTCATATGTTGGATAGGGTCAGTGATATTAGATATTGTATTAGTGGTATTAGATACAGTTCTCGAGGTAAGACTATGATTATATGAGTTCCTTTCCGCTGTTGGAAGTCGTTATGAGCAATCAAGTAGAATAAGATTCGCTGCCAACAAGGAAAAGGAAGTAAAGGGAATTATGAGACGGTACACTATATCTTATTACAGTATTTTGTCAAATTCTAACAGTCTGAGACTGAGAACCAATCAATAACAGAATGACCGACATTACGACCCACCGGTGGGTCGTACGTGTTTTGCCACTTCGGACAATACGACCCACCGGTGAGTCGTATGCTTCCCGAAGTTTTTTCGCTAGTTTAGCGAAACTTTTTGGGCAAACTGCATAAACTTCTGTATACATCTCTTGGATTACTTCCCAAAGATTAAATCTTTACATTATAGACCCATTAGTGGCCAAAAACATGATGCAAACTCAATATTTCAAATGCTTGGTCCGAAACGGCAGTCATCGTGAAGTCGGCCTTGTCGTGAATGTGTTAAGCAATGGTTTTTTCCGAACGGTAGGATTCAGAAGAGAAGTTCCATTAGAATGATTTATGTAAGTCATTGCTACGACAAAAATAAAAGCATTTTGCTGCTCCTGCTAGAGTTTGAAGAACTGCTTTAGTTTTCTTGAAATTGATTACGATTGACTTGCTATATTTATAGTGTTATAATTTCGTGCATACCATTATGATTAGACTCGTAAATATTGCGCTTGTCTATCTATCTTGTCTATCTCTGTCTATTTCGACAAAAATCACCTTCGTCTTTTCAGGCAGCTGCAATGAAATCGTGGAATACTTCCAAATGAAAGCAAAATGACAGTGCAAAAGCAATATAAAAGTTATTCAAGCTTTCCCTCTTCTCGTCTAAATGCGGTAAGTTTCAATACTTTCTTATGTAACAAGTTCTGCAAAGGACTGAATTGTTATTGCGTAAGCGCATATGCATGAATGATTTGGTGAGGTGTTGGAAACAAGAGTACATGCTCGGCTGCGGTCGCTATGATTCCGAGAGAATGACAAAGAATGTGAAAAAAGAAATATAATATTTGTGCTTAGAAACGACCTAGGTTTTGACGGGGGTGTTCCTGCCATTTTATGAGACCTTGAAATGTGGAATTAGATTTTGACACAGATTTTGATGAAATGGCTTTTCTTCCATGGTGAGGCATGCGAGAGCGTACAAATAAATATTGCACTGAGATGATGGCTCTAAAATTTTCAAAAATAATTGGAGGGATGGAATGGAACATTAAATCCAAGCATTACTGAAGCTAATCTGAGAAGAATCGTGTTTTCCTGTGAACTTATCTAACTAATTGATGAGAATTCGACTATTTGGATAAGAGCTGTGAATTTTGAATTAGGGAGAGAGCGGAATATGTTTCAAATGAGCAGATTATATGTTTCTATGGTCCTATTTGACTACCTGGGTAATAATTGTGAATTTTGCATTATTTGAAGAAGAAAGCGGAGAAAGCGAGTTTCTTTTTTTTTGTTTAGCAGATTATATTTTTTTGATCCTATTCAATTGACTCGTGAAAATTGACTACTCGGATAAGAGATGTGATTTTGAATTACGGAGAAAGAGGAGTATTTTTTGAATTAGTAGATCATAGCATAATCCTATTCAACTAAATGATAAAAATTTGACTACTCGGATGAGAATTGTGAATTTTCAATCATGGAAAGAAATTTTTTGCCTGAACAGTTCGTAATTATTTGCAGGACAGTTTTACGGTAGAAGGTGAAGGGAAGGGTTTTAGAAGTGAGGCATGCCAAGAAAACAAAAAAAAGCGGAATTGTTAACAAATTAATGATTAATCACTGAAAAGCGCTTAAAACTCCATTTCAAGTGCTTTTTTTTTCTAATTAATTCTTCAAGTGTAATGACAAAACATTGAGACTATGCAAGCAATTCTGTACTTCTTTGTAAGTTTTACAGAAGAATTTAATGGAAAATTGCAAATCATTTGCTGACTTTTTTCTTTCCAACAAACAAAACATCACGAAAATGCAGCTGTTATGAAATTTGAAAGCAATGCTTTGTGTTTACAAAGCTGCTTTTGTTTCTTTGGGAAAAGCTCGGCTCGGAAAGCAACAAAACACAAAGATCGAGCACTGGAATGACATTCTCAATGGGTGTCGACGCATTCGATAAGCGGCCAAGTTCACATAATGACTCGCATTTATGACGAAAGCGTTGGCAGTGAAATGTTTCAGACAAATTGTTGCCTTGGTAGCTAGACATTTTCGACTGCCGATACGGCTGAGAGCCTTCAAAGTAAATGTTTACCTATGAGAATGATATATGGCAACCATTTTATTGGTCAGGTTTCTTTTGGTCTATATATGGAAGCGATCTCATGAACTCTGGACCGAAATCTTTGAGGTCAAAAATATTTCTTAATGATTCTATCATGATTTTTGATAGTGAAGGTTTTTTTTTCATAGTTCAATAGGCAACCAAGCCACTTTCTCTGAAAAGCAATCCCAAATTTCAAAGCGAGATTTCAACGACTATTGGAGAAACATTTTACCTCAAATTTTATGAAATTGAATTCTAAACAAAGGCGTCACATGACCAGGGCTCGGCACAGGTGGCTTGTAAGCAAGCCTGATATCGTTTTTGGGACAAAAAGGGATATCGTTTTTAGGCCGAAAAGAGTCAAAAATTGCACGGTTTTTGTAGATGACGTTTCCTTTTTTGATGGTTTTTTTTACGTTTAGGGTCAAGGATCAAAGGGGACTTCGTAAAAATTCGCAAAACTCAAGGGTGACTTCTTTTTTGCATTTTTCAAAAGCCACCTCGTGTCGAGCCCTGTGCTGAACATGAGAAAGTACTTTTTTCCATTTGTTACCTCAGAAAGAGAAGTATTACATTTGTAATTTCCAGGATAGACGTTTGATTATATCTGAAACGTTTTCAAATAAAAACACAAGGTCAACTTTGACTTTCTAGAAACATCTTGCTTTGCACAAATTTCGTTGAGAAATGGTAATAACTAGATGTAACGGTGTAAAAGTGAAAACCAATTTACAAATGGTTCGAAAAAAAAACTTTCTTTGGGGTTATTTCTTTGGGACCTTTTCTTATTACTTTAGCATAATGGAAACTCTAAAATAGCTATTGACCGAGTTTTGAGCTTGACCTTCTTTTCCTACTAGCACTATGTACCCTGTTTTTTCTCTGTCGAAGGAACACAATCCTCTTTTTTTCAAGTGGAGAAGAATTTTATCCATTGTAGTTGTGCTAAGAGCTACTCCGAGGCTTATATAATCTCTCAGAAAATATACAGACAAAGAGGTGATGTACTGGACCATAAACTCGTCATAATGAGTGATTTTTTAAGTAAAAATTATAATTGTATGAAATACCATACCACTATGATCAAGCATTTGATTGGGCGAAAGAGGTTGTAACACTAATATAACACATCTTCAGTATTTGAGATTCGCTATGAAGTGATATTGATAAACGTCAAAGAAATGCAACATTTCGCGCAAAAGGCGGCATTCATTTCTTTTCAAAGGAAATCTGGACGGCCTTGGAAAACGCTCTATTTTGACATCTGAGATGAATCGACCAGAAGACGACAATGGCAGTAGGCGGCAATGTCTTGCATTCAAATGAATGGTACATGTTAGAAAAAATGAATGGAAAACATATGAATCAGGAGTGTGAATAAGTGTGGTTTGTCATGTGTCTCCGGAAATGTCACATCTGTTGTTGGCTTGTAAAAAAGTCAACAAACAGTTTGGAAAAAACGAGAAACGAGTTTTCGTAATCCTTGAGTTCGAAATGTGAATTGTTTTCTGATTTTAGTGCATTTATCCTTAGATGAATGTCAGAGAGTCCTAGTTTTTGTAAAAAAAGCAAAGATTTTGCACGTAAACTAATTTTATTCTAATTTTATTCTTATCAAGCTTTCTAGCAAATCCCAGTTTCTTTTATGACTTTATACTATCATTTGGTAGGATTTATAGGATTGCCCTAGCAGAGCTCGGCACAGGTGGCTTGCAAAGCAAGCTGGATACCGTTTTTGGGGGAAAAGCAAAGGGGATATCGTTTTTGCGGAAGGGCATAATGTTGTCTTTCGACCTGCTGCCGGCACGCTGCCGGCATGCCGCCAGCAAATAAACAAAGGGTTTGTTTACGGCGA